AGGTGCTGGTCATAAAATTAAAATATCATGAAAAAGTTGATTTATTTCAGTAATTCCGTTTAAAAAGTGAAACATGTATATTATATTCATTCATTACACACATTCATATATATATTTCAAATGTTTATTTCTTTTAATGTTGATGATTATAACTGACAACTAATGAAAACCCCAAATCCAGTATCTCAGAAAATTAGAATATTGTGAAAAGGTTCAATACTGAAGACACCTGGTGCCACACTCTAATCAGCTAATTAACTCAAAACACCTGCAAAGGCCTTTAAATGGTCTCTGTCTAGTTCTGTAGGCTACACAATCATGGGGAAGACTGCTGACTTGACAGTTGTCCAAAAGACACCTTGTACAAAGAGGGCAAGACACAAGGTCATGCTAAAGAGGCTGGCTGTTCACAGAGCTCTGTGTCCAAGCACATTAATAGAGAGGAGAAGGGAAGGAAAAGATGTGGTAGAAAAAAAGTGTACAAGCAATAGGGATAACTGCACCCTGGAGAGAACTGTGAAACAAAACCCATTCCAAAATGTGGTGGAGATTCACAAAGAGTGGACTGCAGCTGTAATCAGTGCTTCAAGAACCACCACACAGACGTATGCAAGACAATGGTTTCAGCTGTTGCATTCCTTGTAATTCTATTTATGCAATATTATAAACAATGTTTCTAAACTCTAAATGCTTTAAAAGAGCACAGCATGTCATGAACTCAGCTCTCTGCCTCCAGCTGCTCTCTGCCATCTGCCAGCGCTCTTGGCCACGCCCACTTCGCTGCAGAGTGGCGATATGACACGTTGTAGGAGGAAGCTTCTCCTGCAGTGTGGGCTGCACACAGATGCAGCAGGTGCTAAATAAATTAAAATAATTTATTTTAAATAAAAATTCCATGCTGATCATGCAGCTCATCCATCAATCAGCCAATTGTGCGTCATGTCCAATCTTATTTTGAAAAACTGCGATAGAGCGAGTCCGCAAAATACGAACAGCGAAGTAGTGAGGGACTACTGTATTGAAGTAGTTGATTAATTATTAATTATTCAAAACATGATAGAACAATTAAAAACATTTCGTACAGTTGATTTCTGAGAAAAATCTTATATTTATTTTCTTTAAAAAAATAAAAATAAAATTATGTTTTGCAAAAATCAACTCAAGTGGTCACCCCCCTCACACTTTTTTTATTTATTTTTATCAGCAAACCAAATAAAAAAAGTGTCAAGAAAAGTTTCAGAACTTGTGACCACCGTTGATTGGGCTGAAATTATTTTTTTTCTCATTTCCTGAAAATGTGTTTTTGGAAATTCAAAGTTTCTGCCCAAATATGAAGATAAGAGGAAAAACAACATCACTCTAAAAGTTTCTGAAAATTGGGTTCTCACCCAAAGGCACTGTGAAACTGTGAATTGGGGTTATGTGTAAAAGTTATGAACATTTAATATCTTACCTGCTGCAGAAAGCTTCTGTTTGTGATTTTGAATGTCGGTTTCAGTTTGAAGTAATATAATTTAATTTTAGCCAAACTATACTAATATTCCAGATGAAATATCTGTGTAATTTAAAACTTGCAGATGTGTAATAGTTTATATTAAAGCTTTTGTATAAACCGTTATGAAAAATGACTGAAGATGTATTAAGACACCAACAATCCACTTTGGTCTAGCTCAGACTAGCCATTAGCTTGTCCATTCTGTCAAAATTATTACTTTTCCCCCTCCTCAACCTGAGTAGGCTGAACACTGCAATACTAAATATATTAATTGTTCATAACTTTCTCACAAATGTCCATTTCAAAGATTTGAACTATTCTTTTAAAATCATATTGACTCACTGTGACAATAATATGAACCACCGTCTTCACAACATAGATATCCCTGATAAACAGGAACATGCAAACAGTGAAAAGGTGCAGCAACATAATCTCCTTTATTATATCTTGCTGTAAGACTTTTTATGATTTACAGCAGAGACGTATTGACATTTGATATCGAAACACAGCTCAGTTCATACCATGAGACCAGCTTGGACTCTCTTAAACTGGAATGGGAAACAGACTTGGAGGAATCCATATCAGACTCAATCTGGCGAAAGATCATTCAGAACATTTACTCATCCTCAATCTGTCTGAGACATGCTGTAATTCAATTCAAGGTGGTGCACTGTCTACAATGGTCCAAAGACAAATAGTCCAGCATAAAAACTGCCCTGGATGCTGCATGTAACCACTGTAAACATCTCCTCTTACACACATTCTGAACTTGTCTAAAGCTGCAGACCTATTGGCAATCTATTTTTGATACGTTCTCTGGAATATGTGGAAAAACTCTACCCGTCACCATTAATTTCATTGTTTAGAGTTGCCCCTATGGACGCATCCTTTAGCAAGTACAAAAAGGATGTGATGACTTTTGGCTCTCTCCTAGCCAGGAGACTTCTTTTATGCAGATGGAAGGATCTGCATCCCCTGGCATATGTAAGTAAAGTGCTATGTGTTGTCATTAGGCCTGTCGCGATAAACAAATTAATTAATTGCATGATAAATTAAAATTATCAACCTCATTTTTATTTATCAACTTTATTGTTTCTTCATGTCTCTCTCTTTCTGGAGACACTGGATGACAAAAAGCTCAACTTTGGTACTCTTCACTGACCCCCTCCCTTTCTCTTTTCTCTTTAAAATCTATTTTAACCATCCAAAATTGTGTTTTTGGATTGTTAAAAGCAGCTAAGCTGAGAAGCTAAGCTACGAGCTAAGCTAACAGGCCGACCTCGGGGAAAAAAATCTCTGTCTTGTCGAAGTTCCAAAATTCACTGTTAAAACCTGTGCCATCATGTAAAAAGTTGTTTTTCTCTGCAAAAAGAAGCTGAGAACTTATTTACTGACTTTTTTATTAAAAGCTTTGTGTGGAAAACTTTATGCTAAGGAGGTCAAACCACACAGAGCGTGTGCCATTTTGAGAACCAAATAGAGACAGCCCATGTCATGTCAAGGGGCCTCCCTCCCATTTTTCTTAAAGATACACGCTGCTCGCTCCCTCACTATCCATCATTCGGTTCAAACTGTCTTACATACCGTCAAAAAAGTACTACACTCAAAACAAATTAACCAACATTTCTAATTAAATTGGACAATAATTACTAATTATTGTCAAATTTCAAACATTAAAATAATTTCTGAGACAATTAATCATCCAGCAAAATTTGTTATCGTGACAGGCCTAGTTGTCATCATTGTGCGTTTCCATACAATGGCAAAATTGGTTCTCTGCACTTAACCCATCACATGTGAGATACACCCAGGTGGAGCAGTGGGCAGCTATGTAGGCACATGTGGAGAAATTTGGGATTTGGCGTCTTGCCCAGGGACACCACGGCATGTGTGGCGGGGAGTCGAACTGCGACTTTCTGGTCCCAAGTCAGCTGTTCTACCTCTACATCAGCTCGGCCCCTGCCCCTATATACCCCTATAAGATCACTGGATAAGAGAAGTTACGTGTCATATTCACTTGAAAAAGATCAAATACACTGTGAGGGGATCTGTTGGAAAATTTTGGGACACTTGGCGACCATTTCTGGTTTATATTGAAAGTATGTCAGTGCTTGTGTAAATATATCTGTGCCTGTTTAGCCGATCCAGAATGGGAGGGGTAAGGTGGTAGGGGTTCTTTCGTTTGTTTGTTTGTTTAGTTTTATTTTTTATGTTGCGTGTTATTAATATGAAAAAAATAAACAATAAAAAATGACTTTGATAAAAAAATAAATCATATAGACTCACTGTGAAAAAAATATGAACCACTGTCATCACAACACAGATATCTCTGATAAACAGGAACATGCAAACTGTGAAAAAGTGCAGCAACATAATCATCTTTATTGTATCTTGCTGTAAGTCAAGTTTTATGATTTACAGCAGAGCTATAGTGCCCCCCCAAAAAAGCATACCTAATCTGTAAGAAAATTAAATAAAGAAACCTAGTTCTTCATAAACTAAATAGTGCAACTAAAGATTTAAAATTAGTTTTTTAAATAATCCTTCACATTCCCTTAATTTGTACAACTGTCAGAAACAAGGAGTGTGTGCCTTCATTGTTTTGTTACGGTTGTGTACAACCCATTGGGGAATGTATGTTGTAACTTGATGTTTTATTAACTAAGCACAATGTTCAGACTGCTGGTGGTGATGTTTGTTGAAATTCCTCATTTCTTACCCATGCACCCTGGTGTGTAAAGCCATTCTGGCTGACAGGAAGTGAGCAATGATAGCGACAGCGACATGGTGAACATGGCACAATACTTTACCTTCCACAGCTCTTTTGAAGAAGACCTTACAGCTTCCACAGGTCACGACACCGTAGTGACACCCCGATGCCTCGTCCCCACAAACCAGACATACTTTGGCTGTTGAGGACGGTTGTCTGAGTGGTGAGCTAACAAAGGACAAACACAAAAGTTTTCAGACTGGATGACAAATAACACATTTTAAACAGTCAACATCAAATCCTGTCCTGACTGCCCCTTTACATAATTGATGAACGATGATAAACTAATTTTTACAACCTGCTGATAGTAGCAGCACAATGTGGCCAGCCAGAAAGGCGTCTGTCGACCAGGAGAGCACTGATTTATGGATCTGCTGGTCTTCCAGAGATGACACTGACAGAATTATGGAGGAGATTATTTAAATCCAATAAGCAGAGAGAGGCTGACCTGGATGTCCAACCTAAACAGAAAATCCAAACCATGTGTGCATTTTTTAGCATAAAACTTGAGTTACTGAAAACCTGTTCATTTGTACATTAAAATTACAAAAACCACAGCAGATCGTAACCAAAATGATCATTATGTGTACTGACTGTACGGTGAGTAAATCAGCATCTTGTTTTGATTTACTCAGAAATAAAAAAGACTTGAAAAAGGCATCATTGCCAACATATAACTTTTTACTTTCTGCTTCAGAATTCAAATATGAAGCATTCGCTGTATTTTCTAAATGCAACAAGAATCACAAGTTGGATCTTTTGGCAAAGCTCACAATAAAATGATCTAAAATATAAACTGTTTCTTTCTTCTTCTTTTTCGCAGATATGTGATGCTTTTAAACTTGTAATGGTGTCTTCATGGGAAGGAAAGTTACCAGTACTGTATGAACTAACATGCCCCATATTTTATGCTAAGTAGCAATACAGTACACAACACAGCCCAAAATATACCTATTTTGTACCTTGCTTACCTGGTACTCATATACTGTAGTGTGTATCGGGTAAGTACCTAGAATGTACCAGGTAAGTGCTAGAACCAAATCAGGCAAGTACATACTCACCAGGCTATATTTTGTTTTGCTACATCATGCTTTAAATGTTTGATGGCTTTTTATTTAGTCCCTCCAGAAAGTTGCAATGTTGCGATTACAATTATTGAAGCCAATTCAATCAGTCCCTGTAAATTATGCTCAGTCTTCCTCTTCTAAGTACTGTATTCTTTAGACAATTTCTTAATAAACTAAAAGCTTTGTGTATTTACAGTTTGATATACACATGCTAAATTATATTCTGGTAAATCATTTCCCCACCATGCTCACACACAAAATATACACACAAAGAGTACAAAGGGAGAAAAGTACAAGAGAACACTTTGTATCAAAACGTCAAAAGTGGCCTCAGTTTCCTCCTTCTTTTCTGTGCTAATTACCTCACTCCCACCTTAATGAATAACATGCAAGGTGATTGTCTGGTTAACATTCTCTGTACATTTTTCATCAAACCAGCTGCCAAGCTCTCGTTCCTCAACTTGCCTCACCTTTCTGCCTTGCGTGCGCACACATATACATGCACCCGCTTCCTCCAGGGTACTAGCAGTCAAGGGGTACAGCACCTTCACACTCAAATACAATCAGAACCAGAGCCGAACTTAACATATAGGCAAAGGTAGAAAACCGCCTGAGGCCCCCAACCAGTAAGGAGCCCTGCTGGTTGCCCAACCCCTTAACATTGCGCCTGCATTATTAATGTATGTTTGAAATGAAATAATTATAATTACAATCAAAAAAAATTTTTTTAAACAATCAAAATGATAAAAAAAAGCAACTCAATTCTTTTAACTTTTTTTAATACAGTTTGATCTCATTGAGGCTCGAGGACTCATCAAGTGAGACCTGTTTCAAACAAAGAAAGATGACAACAGTAGACAATCATAAATAAATTGAGAAAAATAAATGAAAGAAAATTATATTTAAAAAATGAAACAAAAAAAAAACTACATTGTAAAGTGATGTAGAAAACTAAAAACAGGAACATGTCTGCATTGGCTTTTCCCATGAACTTAGCAAATGTTTGAAGCCATTTGTAGAGGTCAAGGTCAAGAGTTTCAGATCTTTTTACAACATATTCCAAGGAACAGGAGCGGAGTAGGAGAAGGCCCTTTTGCCAAGTTCAGTCCTCACTGAGGGAACACTGCAGGTAATAATGTCCTGAGAGCGCACGCTGTAGCTGCACTCACGCAGAGACATGTAGGAGGAGATGTATGAAGGCAGCAGACCAAGAAGTGATTTAAAGATGAAAATGTACCAGTGAGAGAGTCTACGTGAAGTTAATGATGTCCTGTTAACCAGTGAATACAGGGTGCAATGGTGGGTACGATAATCATAGCCAGTTATGGATCATAGTACACCATGATAGACAGAATTCAACATCAGCAGGGTGCTTGTAGGAGCATTCATGTAAATAATGTCACCGTAATCAATGGAGGGAAGGAAAGTCACAGATACAAGGCGTTTCCTAGCATTCAGAGTTACACAGGATCTATTTCTGAAAAAGAAACCCAATTTAACTTTCAGTTTCCTTACAAGGTTTTCCACGTGGAGCTTAAAAAAAAAGAGATGTGAATCGACCAAGATACCCATATATTTATAGGAATCGACAAACTCAATAAGAACACCATTTCCAAAATAACATAAAAATGTATTATGCATTATCATCATTGCATGTTCCCATACGATGGTGAAATTGGCTCTCTGCATTTAACCCATCCACCCCCAGGTGGTGCAGTGGGCAGCTATTGAAAGTGCCCAGGGAGCAAATGGGGATAAGGTGTGCTGCTCAGAGACACCACAAGATGTGCAATGACTGGGGATCGAGCCTTGGGACTTTTGGGTCCTGGGTCAGCTGCCCTGCCTCTACCCCATCTCAGCCCCTATCAAAGAAAGAACTGCTGGGACTGACTTCCTGTTTGAAAACAGCATCCCTTTGGTTTTGTCGGCATTTAGGACAAGCGTGAGATGGAGCAAATCTGACTGGATAATGTCAAAAATAGATTGCAAAGGCTGGAAAACCTTAGCTACCATTTTAACTTGACAATAAACAAGTTAAATGACAAGTTAAACAAGTTACAACTAAGGATGCATCAAGGATGCTCTGATCTACATTACCCATGTAGATGGTAAAGAGGGTGGGTCCTAAGACTGAGCCTTGTGGTACACCAAAGTTGACTGTTAAATAACTGGAGGAAGTACCATTATGTTGAACATATTGCCTCCGATCTAAGAGATAGTTAGAGAACCAACCAATTGTGTGGTCTGAGAAACCAATTTCTGAGAGCTTATGACACAATATGTTATGATCCACAGTGTCAAAAGCTTTAGACAGGTGTAAGAAAAGTGCAGCACAATACTCTTTAGCATCCAGTGCTTCAACAACGTCATTAAGAACCTTCAGTGAAGCAGTCATGCTGTGTTGTTTCCTGAAACCAGATTGAAGGCGAGGTAAGATGTTAAATGTGTCCAAATACTTTTTGATTTGAGAGTTTATCAGTTTTTCTAGAACCTTGGCTAAAATGCAGAGTTTAGAGATTGGCCGATAGTTGTTCAGTGAGGTGGGGTCACCTCCCTTCAGCAAAGGTAGAACAAAGGCTGTTTTCCAAGCATCTGGAATGGAGTTTTGGCTTATGGACAGGTTAAAGATGTGGGATACCGGTGCTGTGATGATATGAGCAGTATAGTATATAAAGTATATAAAGCTATAGTCCATAACTTTTCTTAAACTATGAGAGGTAAAGGGGATTACTATATTTTAACCACTTTAGTTCCCACTCCTTCTCTCCCTCTCCTCCCAAAAGTGACAGGATGTTTAAAGCTGAATAGTTAAATACTTATCAGTATTACCAATAAAAGAAACTAGAAAAAAAAAGCATCTATCTGAAAGGGACTGTGAAGAAGAGGAATATACAAGAACATGAGGAACAATAAATAAGAGCAAAAAATGAACAAATAAGAGTACATCAACGTTCCAGAGAGGAATAAAAAGAGAAAACAGTAATAGGGAGCCTAGAGGAAAGCAAGTAAAATGTAAAGGTAGTACATTTAGTCAGTAAATAACATTATTCTATACTTTTTGCAGTTAACCTGTTATACTCATGTGATTCTCTCTTCAGTAAATCAAGACAGGAGACAACTTCTTTCATAGAAATCTTACAGTCAAGGGAATTTGTGATCACTTAATGCTGTACAAACACAAAGTACAGTATAGTGAGTTCATCTGCTCCAGTTTTCACACATTTGATGTGTTTTGTCCAGATGCATTCTCGAGCCACACATCACAGAAGAGCGGTAACAGTCAGTACTAACCGCTATCCATGTACAGACCTACTGACAACATTAATCTGTGCCACCTCCCTGAACTCTATCCTCATATTCCTCCCATCCCCTCACACATGACTTTATATGACTCTCATCATATTGTATGACTTTTATTGGGTTTTTTTACATTTCGAAACATTTCATGACTGCAGTAACACTCATCCAGTTTCCTCTCTCCAGATGAATATGTTGTGTAAATAATATTGTAAATTGAAAATAAAAAAATGGCAAAGGACAAATAAGTTTGACAGCAAAACAACTTTATGTTGTTGTTCTTTTCAGGTTATTTTCCAGTCTGGTTCCCTGCCCACACTTGCAGTTATGGGACAACGTTTGGATTTCCTTCCAAGTCCCACCTCTCTCAAACACATTGACTTTTCCACAGTGATCTTACAACTGTGTCCTGTCAGACGAGTATGTAATAACACACTAAAGTAATCGTGATCTAAAGTTATGAAAATCTGCTCATTTAAGAAAATGTTTTTACTATATTGCCTGCCTCTACCCCGTCATTATTAATTTGTACATAGTGGTGTTGACTGTTCATGTAAGATTTGCTTTAAGCACTTTTTCATTATAATTACAAAACAAAGTTTTTTCCCAAAAAGATTTTAATGAGTAGTTGTGTCTTATTTTTATTTATATTATTAAACCTTTATTTATTTTGGGCGGCTGTGGCCGAGTGGTTAAAGCAGTCGTCCTCCAATGCAAGAGTTGGGGGTTCGAATCCACAAGCAGTCACATGCCCAAGTGTCTCTGGGCAAGACACTGAACCCCTCATTGCCTCTGATATGTGTC